ATAAAAAACAAAAAAACAAAAACCCAAACAAAAACAACAACAACCAACCAACAAAAACAACAACAACAACAACAACAACAAAACCAACAAACAAAACCAAACCAAAAACAAAAAACAACAACAACCAAAAGCAAAAATCCCATTAAAAAAAACAAAAAAACAAACAAACCATAAACAACAACAAAAACACAACAAAATCCCAGTAGAAACCAACAAATAAAACAATAATAATAAACACATTTATTGGTAACTATTGTCTAACGCAATAAGGAACCGGTACTTTTCTTCCGTAAAAATAATCATAGGAATCGGTTCTAGAATCAATTCTTCGCCCAGCCCTTTAAAAAAAGAACTGGCTAAGAAATCTGGAGCGCTATTTTTAACAATAAGTTTAACATCGTCCACTGGTTAGCTGGAACAGGCCTCTGACCCATCAATGCTGCATCAAAGAACACCAGTTATTTGTGTGTGTTTGTGTGTGTGTATGCGTGGGTAAGTATGTGTGTGTGTGTGTGTGTGTGTGTGTGTGTGTGTGTGTGTGTGTGCATGCATGTGTGTTATCATTATTTAAAAAAAAAGTCCTGAAGCATCACATCCAGCACTCCTAGTCCAAGTGTCTAACACCACCGCCTCAACCAATGAGTCCTGAAAGACACTTCAACCAGTATGCATGAACTTAGGTTGACACCGTCATCGGACGACCCCGACACACGCAGAATTCACACGCCGAAGTCATGTCACGTGATGGGAACGGGCGATTGAAACTGTTTTACTGATGGGCCCGACTAACTGTGCGTTCACACCAAACACACTGACGGGTGACAGTCGTTCCAGACTAACGACAATGGCCGACTGACCAAATGTACCAACAGATCTCTTATCCCTCCTATGGGTTCAGACCAAAGCAATGACAATGGCCGAGTGTTGGTCTAGTCAGGGCAGTTAGTTGTGTAAGGGTTAGATCGACTGTCGCTCGTCCGAGTGTTTGATGTGACTGCGCGGTTTACTAAACCTTGGACGAGACTTATATTTAAAATAACAGCAGAACTACGAATGTTATCGATTATTTGTATGTTGCAATTGTAACAGTTATCAAGCTGTTATAAATCTGAGTACGGGCAAAGATCTAACACAACTTGGGGCTAGTCAACTAATAAATCCGGCATTGATATTTTGGAAAATAGTGCTCCGAGTTCCTACTGACAAAAAGTTCAGCAGGTGCTTCCCGTGCTAGAGAAGAAGGCAGAGTAAGTTTTTAGAAAATCTGGAGCAACAGCGGGGTGTAACAAAAAATCGGGATACACGTGTTCGAAATCGGAAAAATCGGGGATGCTTGAGCAGACCTGCCACTCATCCCGATTTAATCGGGATATCCCGATTTTTTGCCCCAAATCTCAAGGATCCCGATTTCGATCGCCAGTATCCTGATTTTTTGTCGTTGCGTCTGTTGCATCCGATTCTGAGAAAAAAATATAGAAAGTTCTGCAATTTCTTTTGCTTGGAAGTACCGATTGAACTTTTTATCGACATGAACTTGGAACGATCTTTTCTAAAGCATCTATGCCGAATCTAGTAAACGACTCACGCACGTTATTTCAACTAAAATCGGCGTAGTATCGATTTTGAATTCAGACTTGGACACGCTCAAGATCTACTTTCGCTTTTACTTTTATAACCCGGGATTCTCCGATGGTGTCCTGATTACTGTAACAATTTTGACTTAGCCTAAAAATAATATATTCGTTGTTCTGCCGTTGCTTTAAAAGCAATCTCGGTCTGAGTGCTGGTTTGTCGGGCCCATCATCAAGACCTGTCAGTGAAACTTTCAAACGCTCATTCGCATCACGTGACCTAGCTGACCTCGTACGTGTGAGTAGTGCGTGTGTCGGGGACCGTTGGTTGTCGAGGACAACAGAGTTCATTCACACCGGTCGAAGTGTTTTCCGGGACTTAACCAGTGTGGACGATCGGAGGAGGGGGGGGTGTATTTTTTTTTACTTATTGCGCGTGCCGTGATACAGATACTAACTGAGGGGAAAGGAATAAGAAAAAAAAATGAACAACCTTCGCGCGATTTTTTTTTTTGGGGGGGGGGGGGGGTGCCTTGATTGTATATGCGATGGAAGTATTGGAAGTCAAACGTTGTTACTGTATGAAAACGCGTGCTTTTTGCATGGATGATTAGAGTTATGTGCCAGCTATTTTCAAGACTACGAGAGTTTCAGCATTGTTGCAACCTGTGCTCCCCCAGTCTATCCAACTTCGACTCGAGTACATATATGCTGTCTTTCAGTTTTCCCTCTATTTAGAGGCCCAAACGTGAACTTATTCCTGCAAAAGTTTTGTTTTGTATACTTGCCTCATAAAAGGGAACCAGGAGACACCCCCCCCCCCTTTCCCCAGTGTCCCTTATGACTGATTTGCTGTTGATCCTGATTTTTTTCACCAGATCCTGATTTTTTAAACTCAAAAATCCTGATTTTTAGATTTCATAGAGTGGCATAGATTTGAGGCAAAAAATTGGGATATCCTGACTAAATCTGGATGAGTGGCAAGTCTGAGTAAACTGTTTTCCATATGCGTTTTGTCCCGGCCGGGCCGGGGTGGAGATAAGGTCTCGCTCACCGGTGTACTGGTGGCTAAGCATATGGGCAATTTTACATCAAAAGCTTAAAGGGTTAATGTCAAGCATGTGTCCGTGACAAAGTTTTTAGGTGGGTGGTCACTTGGGTGTGTCATTGAGCAAGATATATTAACCCTTGCTGAAAAAAACAGGGCGCTGTACAGTGGCAAGCAGCTGCCGTGTGTGGATTGTGTATGTGTATGATATTTTTTATAATTCATGAATTTAAGTATTATTAATCTATTTGTGTTTTTATGTACTCCATCATATTACAGATTTCCTAGGAGGGTCAATAGAGCGGAATATATTTGATTTGATTATATTATACACTATTTTTAACGAGACTTTTGAAAGCTTCATAACGGGAAGACACATTCACTATACTTCAGCAGGGTCATGGGCCTTATAAGTAAGAATGGATTTCATTGTGGGTCAGAGGACTTTTCGTTATCTACCTGTAAGCTGTTATGGTTGAGTGTTTTGGAGAATCTCCAGAAGAAAATAATGTGGCTTGTACGATTTTGTTGTATTGATGCTAAATTTAATTACAAGTTAGGTAAAACTGCATTTCAATGACTAGACACGTACTTACTTAGGAAGGCAAATCACAGCGTGTCCTGTATGTGCAAACTGAAATATTTAGAATGGAAAAGAGTTCGGAATAAAGGGCATTATTGAGTAATGTAAGTGACTAAGAGAAGTTTTTCATAGTTTAGTGAAGAAACCTTTAGTTTAAACGGAAACCACAACAAAGTAAACTCATACTACTCCTTTAATTGTTATGCTTTTGAGATACTCTTTGAAAAATTTTAAAGTCATCATTTATTTTTCAAGGGGAGCAATAAGTTGTTTTTTTTCTGTTATTTCAGGTTGAAGGGCAAAAAGAAGAGCATAGTGTGCTGTGATAGTATGAATGTCGGCTTATGGCCGGCCAGTTGTTAAAATGTGCAAAGCCCAACATTTTGGAAAAAGAATTATTGTTGTTTTGTAATCTATGGTATCAGCCGCTTGCACTAAAAGGATATTTTGTCGAAATTCAAATTCTAAATGTTGAAAAAAAAAAAAAGCAAGAAGAAATACATAATGTAGGTAGAATTGTTTAAAGAATGAAACACAAAGAGGTTAGTATCAAATAGAAGACTGCCCAACCATATTTTCCGTAAAGTTCCAGTAAATCACGCGGATTCGATATGTTTAGGGGGTTAGAATAATATGTAGTCTACACTCATTCTCAAGCATGTCACTGCGCATCACGTTACTGACTGAGCTCATTAAATCACCTTATGTTGTTCAGAAGAAAGAGAAAAAAACCCAGTGTTTCAAAGTTATTATATTTGTGTATTTCAGCATGAATGATGCTCGCTAGCTCTGCATTTTTGCAGGAAAAAAATCTTCTGTGTCAAATGTATGTCATCCATTTACAAGTATTGCGTTTTGAGTGAAAGAATTTAAATGAGATCAGAAATTAAGAAATTTTCCGGTGACGATGGTGTATATGTGAAAATTTCAAGAAATAAAAAATGGTTTTAATTGTATTTAAGTCATTTAAGCATAGAAATTAACGGTTTTAATTGAACATTTTGACTGCTATAACGTTTTTAAGCTTACCTTTTTGAGTGAGGCAGGAACAGAGGGAAGGAGGGAGAGAGAGAAAGAACAAGAAACACCGCTGTGTATGGCTGTTAGAGTGATGTATTGGTTGTTGCCCTCATCTTAAAATATTAAAGATTTTTAGTTCAGCCAAGGGCGTTTTTTTAAATAGGAACTTTGATGGTTTTCTCTCAGACTAGCCTTGTTCCATGAAAGAGATGTTGAAACTAACATGTTTGCTCTTTATATTAAGTAATTGTTGTTTTTAAAATATTCTGTTTGTAGGACCCTTTTGTCCTGCAAGTGCCGTAGAGCTCTTGTCTTACTATGGCTAAAATTTATTATTTTATATCACCAGATCGTGTCTCTCAGAATAAATTTTTCCTTTTTTTCTTCCACAGGTCGTGTCCTTACTCAATTTAACCAAACTGGAAATTATCTCTGCTGTTCATGAGTTTAAGGAGCTTGTATCCGAGGGAGTCTACTGTGTCTTCTACTTCTGTGGTCATGGCTTTGAAGGGTCATCAGGCCTGCGCTACCTTGTCCCCTCAGATGCTCCCTTAGGCTATGACAACACCCACTGTATAGCTGCAGAGCAAATCTTCCATGTGCTGCTGCAGAAGAAACCCGGGAACTGTTGCATGATTTTAGACACTTGTCGAAGGATGTGAGTTTTTTTTTTTTAATGATTGTTACTCAAAGTTTTGCTTAAGACAAACTTTGAGAAAAACCATTCTGGGATATGGTAGTTACTGTTTAGTACCCTTGGCTATATTGAAAAAGGGTGAGAAGATAATAGATGATTTTATAGGATTAAACTGATATTTTATTGTGTCAATTTCATGTAGTCTAAAACTTTATTTTTTTTAAAATGTGTTGTTTAAAAAAAATTATTCCTCTTTCATGCATTAGAAGTCTTTTATGAACACATATCTTCAAAGCAAAATAGTTGGTCTGGTCTCTAATGTAGTAAAAGTGATTAGAAACTCCTCCTTGTCAAAGGGGAAAAAGTTCTAGATTTAGACCAACATCTGCTGAGACATGCTCCGAATATATATATAAATAAGAGTAAAGGTAGTGCACTGAGACTTGTGCTCATACCTGAATGGTAAATCTGTACCCTACTGAATGTTTGCAGTTACTCACTGTCTGTCCGGTATGTTCATCCTCGTAATTTGTTATTTGTAAGTCTCCTTTATTCAAAAAGATGACCTGTTATTATGCGGAAACAATTCTAATTGTGAAGTATTGTTATTGTGTTTTTTTGTGGACATTATTTTTTGAGGACAAACATATTCATGATTAATTGTATGTAACGTGTGTTTATATATATATATATATATATATATGGGCTGTAAGGGTTGAGGGTGAAACCGCAGACGCTCTCTGGCAAGCCAGCCTCAACCAAGTCAACTCCCCGTCCTTGTCGAGCAGCCTGGGGACCCCTGCTCTGTGCATAGGAGCAGGGGTTACAGACGGAGCTCTGGCCAGGAGGTACCATGGCCCTGTGAGGTACGATGTGAGCAACGACCCTTCGGCTAGTAGAAGGGTCCGTGCACATCCTCCATTATGGTAGGTCTGGCGTCACAGCAGGCCAACCTGTTCATTCAGGAACTCACTGTCGACACCTTCTTCTCTCCCTCTCGTGGGAGCTCTACAGACGGGGCATGGTACCCACAGACTGCCAGATGACTTATCGTGAGATGTCTCTGCAGACCCTGAAGACCTTGTAGCTGTAAGGAATAGGCTGCCTGGAAACAGAAAACGTCCCTACAGATATCCTTGCAAATGCTCGCTGACCCATGACGTGACGATCCTCTGTCGAGGTAGATTTGGCCATCCTTTGAATTATTCTGCTCCATGAACGGAAATGGTGATAGCAGATAACCAGGAGACAGCAGGTTGAGGGGATTGGGCAAACGCAAGCTACGCTTGGTGATGTAGACGACTCACTGTGGAAGGAGCGCGTTACCCCTTACTCAATGGGACCCCTTACCTGACTGCTCAGACGATCACTGGTCATTGGTTGCACTTTGTGGCTCCCATCTCTCAGAACTAGAGTGTGCCTATACCCCCTATAATTGTCTACTATCTAAGAAATCCCCGTGAAGGTTGATGGAAAACAGGACAGCGAGCATTGCACCTTTGTTCTCTTGTGGCAAGATCTTTGGGCACAAGCCAGTGTCAGGACAAGACTACCACCTACCTGAGATCCTACAGGGATGCATACAAGCCTTTACAACCCCCAAGCTAATAAAATGCCTCTACGACAGATAAAACTATACGAGCTCGGATGTTGTCTCGGTTATCAAGGTCCGCGCTCTCTGCCTTCTCCTGGGGGCAGGAGTGACAAGTCAGCTACTGGGACCCACACTGCAGATATAGGGGCCACAAGCAACACACAGACACCACAGACTCCCCAACCTACTGACACACAGACATTGAATATACTCCAACTGAACGTCTCATCACTTCAGAACAAGAAAATGGAGCTTGCAAAGATGCTGTCAGACTTAAAAATTCACGTAGCTCCCCTGCTACAGGAAACCCAACTACCCAAGCGGATAGAGTTCCATTTGACAAGCTACCCAATGTACCACTGCAAGTGCACCAAATGCCAAGGTGTCGCAACCCTCATTCGGAATGACATCACCACTGAGGTTTCTCACCCAGAAACCGATGACGAGACTGACATGCAGGAGGTGAAAGTGCAGCATTCGGATGGAACAACCTATACCATCTACATTGTATACTGCCCCCCGAGAACTACTCTCCAGCTCAACTTCCTGAATACAGGCCACAAACATACCATTCTTGCGGGAGATTTCAAGGGGGTTACAGTGATACCGACACGACAGGAACAGTTCTAGAAGAACTACTGAGATCAAGCAACCTCATTTCACTTCAGAATGACAAGACACCTCCCTCCCTACTTCACAGAGCCAGCGGAACTCTCAGCAGACCAGACTTGACCTTGGTCTCTGCTGACCTTCACCCGCACTGCTCCATGACTGTCCCAGATGACATAGGAAGTGACCACCACCCAATCCTACTGCAGATATCCAGCAACAGAAAACAAGAACCGACCAACCCCATAAGACGCAGTTGGAACTACAAGAAAGCAAACTGGGAGCTCTACCAACAGAAATCAGAAAGTAGACCCCTGGAAGTATGCACGACCAACCAAATTGATGAGTGCTACAAGGACATCACCACAGCACTAAAGACATCTGCTAAGGAAGCGATTCCAAGAGGGAACCCTGAGAAGTTTCGCCCTTGTTGGGACAAAAAAGTAGAAAAACTGACGAAAACCAGAAAGAAAGCCAGACGGCGTGCTGAGAAGAACCCAACAGCCGAAAACAGAAAGCACTACAACTACCTGACTGCCAAGGTAAAGCTGAAGAGCAAAAGTGCGAAAAGGAAAACATGGAGAGAACATTGTGGAGAACAAGACCTTCGTAAGGACGGGAGGAAAGCCAATCTCTCAGGTACAAAAAGAAGGAAAAATCCGGCCCCAATGAAACCAACTGAGAAAGGAGAAACATGCAGAGCTGAGGTGATGAATAAATACTTTGATAGCATCAACAAGAAAGGAAACCAGAACAAACTGAGCCACACAATAAAGCAGTTGACCAAAAGGGCAGAACGGACTCCCAAGGCAAACCTGAAGGTGTTTGAGAAGGAGTTTACTCTGATGGAATTGAAGGCAACCCTGAAAAAGTGTAAAAAGAGAAAGGCCCAGGACCAGACCACATCACCAATAAGATGATCCTCAACCTGACAGACTCTTCCCTCTCCATACTCCTGGACTTCTTCAACAGGACCTGGAATGAGGGACAGCTCCCAACAGAATGGAAGAAAGCAAACATCACATCGATATTAAAGAAGGACAAACCAGCAAGCCAGCCTTCAAGCTATAGACCAATCTCTTAAACATCATGCCTGGGTAAGGTCGTCGAGAGAATGGTCAACGACAGACTGTACTGGTGGATGGAAAACACCGGCACAATCAGCACATCATAGGCAGGATTCAGGAAAGGCAAAAGAACTATGGACACCTCATCAGATTTGCCCAGAAGACCAGCGATGCCTTTCAAGATAAAGACAATGTTGTGGCCGTCTTCATCGACCTGAGGCAGGCGTAAGACTGTGTGTGGAGACAGGGACTGTTCTTCAAAATGCGAAAGCTTGGGATAGCAGGAAGGATGTACAGCTGAATCGAGAACTTTCTGTCTTGCAGAACTATCTAGACATCATGTGACAACAAGATTTCTTCACAGAGGACACTCAAGGAAGGCCTTCCACAGGGTCAGCACTCAGTTGTACCCTCTTCCTGTTGTTCATTAACGACTTGCCAGATGTCATCTCCTGTCAGAAAGCACTCTACGCTGACAACTAGCTCATCTTGAGCAAAGGAAGTGACATGAGAGCACTGAACCAAGCCATCAACGCAGACCTGACTACTATCTTGTCCTACTGCCAGCTATGGAAGATGGAGATCAACACAGACAAAACTGTTTTTGGACTCTTCAGTCTCAAAAACAAGGTTACAGCAGGTCAGGTTAACCTTAAGATCAATGGAACCAACATCAAACATGAGGACTATCCCAAGTACCTTGGTGTACAACTGGACCGAAAGCTGTCTTTCAAAGAGCTCTTATGGGAGCTGACCAAGAAAGCCATCTCCAGACTAAACGTTCTGAAATACCTTTCATCACTCAACTGGGGAGCTGACAAAGCAACCCTCCGACAACTTTATATATAGGGTATGTCAGATCTGTGATTGACTACTCCCTACCACTACAATCCATAGCCAGCCACAGCTCTTTGGCACAGCTTGACAGAGTACAGAGCCAAGCTCTCAGATTTGTTTCTGATGCGATGAAGACCACGCCTACAAGCGCCTGCGAAATCCCCATCAACATAGAACCACTGGACCTCAGAAGAAAAAGTCCTACACTCGAAACCTACGAAAGATTTGTGCTACTAGAAGACCAATGAAAACAGAAAAATGGCAGATGAAAGGGAACCAAGAACACGCATCCAGAAGACCTCCTTCATGTGAGAAGCAACAAAACTACTTGAGGAGTTTGACCCACCCGAGAACAGAGAACCAATCACTAACATCAGCAGCGAACCTCCTTTTTGGCAGGCACTAGAAATCACAATAAGGACGAGACTTCTAGGCCCTTCTTGTGACAAGACCACACCAGAAGAAATCCTCAGAACTAGTGCCCTGGAGACAGTGGACTTGTATGCTGAAACCCCAATTCATGCATACACTGATGGGTTAGCAACAAACGCTTCACGGAATACTGGATACGGATCCATCATCAAATATTGAAGCAACCTTGGAGAGAAGAAGCTGACCCAACTATTTGGCCCATGTGGAACATACAGCTCCAACTATGATGCAGAGAGAGTTGCCATAGTAAAGACCCTGGAGCAGATCACCCAAGACTTTTTTGAGGGCGCAGTGACACCAGGGGATGTTGTTGTCTTTTCTGACTCAATGTCAATACTCCAAGATGTCGAGGGAGGAGGAGACTACAGAGGTGACGGGAACATTCTCAGCCTTGTAAAACAGATGGGCACTACCTATGGCGTCCGGGTCACACTACAGTGGGTGCTTGGCCATTTTGGAGTACCAGGGAATGAGACTGCAGACCAGCTATCAAAGACTGGAGCAAGCCTGCCCCAGACAGACACAGCCGCCTCTTTACAGACCTGCAGAGGGATCATCCAAGCCAAAGGCAGAGACGAGTGGCTTAACAGATGGGCCAACGCAGAAACAGGAAGATCTCTCTTCTGGTACATGGACAAACCCAACCCCAAAGACCAATCGAATCTCTTATGTAGAGCTGATCAGACTTTGATCTTCAGAGCGCGCACAGGACACTTACACACCAACAAGCACATAAACCGAATTAACCCCATGTGGGAACCCCATTGCAGACACTGTGACTACCACGAGGAGACATGGTATGTATTGTGTCATGGAATCAGTTAAAATTAGGCTTACTGATATATGACAAAGAACAAATGTAATCTTGAAATTTGAGCTTGGGTGCAACTTTTGTATTTTATATCAAAGTATTTTTTCATCTATTCTAATATATTGATTGCTGTAAATGATTTAAAAAAAGACATTCTGTGTATTAAGGAGCTTTTATCCGAGGGAGTCTACTGTGTCTTCTACTTCTGTGGTCATGGCTTTTTAGGAACAATGAGTTTTATTTGGTAAACTTCAGATTATATAAGTTTTTGTCTAAACAAAAATATGTCTTTTGCGTCTACAGAAGACCAGAGTCCAAACCTGAACACAACCATTTTTCTGCTGTTGAAACGGGAAATGCCATTGTGTGCTATGCCACGTAGGTTCTTCGTATGTTTGCTCGTGAAATAATGTTCTGTGATAGAGAAGGCAAGGGAGATGGGGAAAAGAGAGGGGAGGAGGAGTAATGAATCAGTGAATGATACTGAATGAATGGAGAAGGAGGGACAAAATAGAAGGGGGGCAGTGTTAAATGAGAGAGAGAGAGAGAGAGAGAGAGAGAGAGAGAGAGAGAGAGAGAGAGAGAGAGAGAGTTGCATACTTTTTTTTTGTCTGTGTTTGTCCGAATTTTTGTGTGTTCTAAACAATTTCAACTTTATTTCAACGTATTGGTTTCCTTCTGTGCAATATAAACTAGTCAACAAAAGTTAAGGAACGTACTGTAAAAACAGTGATATATTTGCATGCATTCTTTCGAGGTTTTACTTTTACCAGTAAAACTAGATATTGGTGAAATGTTACTCTATGACTAATGGGCTTGTACACACCAAGGTTTGAAATGCACCTGAGGCCTGTGCGATGAGCTTGGGAGGGGGCAAAAAGGTCCAATGTTTTCCAATTATCGATTTTTATTCTCTCGCTCTAACCATCAGGAAAAATTATGAACGCTCAAAAATCAGTTTTCAAATGCAAGATTCATGTCTCGTGAGTGACTTCCACTCGCTCATTTGCACTGTGGATACACCATTCTGCTGCTGTAGGGCTAAGCATAAACATGCCTCCTCGACAGAAATTGTCTGATGTAAACAAAGGACGAGCCATTGCTTGGGTACAAGATGGTGTTTCACTCCGACAGGTTGCTATACGTCCTTGAGTGTCCGTTTCTGTCATTTCATGGCTGATTCAGCGTGCCAACACCACTGGTAGTGCCCAAGAGCGACCCAGATCAAGTCGACCAAGAGCCACTAATGCAAGGGAAGACCGATTCATTCATAGACAGGCTCTGCAGTCGAGATCCGCTCCTGCAAATCGCATCCAGACACGGCTGAGAGCGGTAACTTGTGTTAACATTAGTTGTCAGACGTTTTCATGAGTTTGGACTTAATGCACGTCGACCAGCAGTCCATCAGCGTCTCTCCCCAGCACACAAGGCTGCTCGTCTTTTTTGCCGGCGCCATGTAAGATGGACACGTCAACAGTGGGCAAACGATCTCTTCAGCGACGAGTTCCGGTTCTCTTTGCATCACAATGACGGTCGTATCAGGGTTTGAAGGCGACCCGGAGAGCGGCTTCTCGATGCAGCCGTCAGAGAAGAGATGCCTTTTGGAGGTGGTTCCGTGATGGTATGGAGTGCTTTCAGTCTGAACCACTGAACACCTCTGTACCATGTGCAAGGGAATCTCACTACAATACGTTTACCGAGATGAGATACTCCGTCCATTAGCACTATCTACTGTGCAGCAGATGGGACCTCACACGAGGTACCAGGATGACAACGCCTGACCTCATAGAGCGTTGCTAGTCCAAAACTTCATGCAGCAGGCTGGCATTAACCTAATGGACTGGCCGGCCTGCAGTCCGGACATGAATCCCATAGAAAACCTCTGGGATGAGCAGCAACGTCGAGTCAGAGGCAAACACCCCCCCCCCCCCTTCCAGGAGACACGCAGCAACTGTTTCAGATGCTGCAGGCAGAGTGGCAGGGGAGGCCTCAGAGAGTGTTCACCAACCTCATGAACTCGATGAGGAGCCGGTGTACTGAGTGCCAGGACGATCGTGGTGGGCATACTCATCATTGAAATCATCTGAAATGTTTTGTTTTTGTTGTAGTCAGAAGTTAAAATAACTTCGAAACCACTTGACAAATTTGGGATTTGGGATTTTAACCCCTACCAAACTCAATTAACTTTTTATGCAAGTTAAAATGGAACAACTTAATTTTCTTTTTTGTTACTTGCTATACACATGTTGATTAAAAAGTGTACAAAATTGCATTGCGTGTTGAAGTATGCTCTCGAAGTTGTACACTTTTTCTCAAATGTTCCTTAATTTTTGTTGACTAGTTTATATATATGTATTAGTTTCCTTCCTTGCTTTGTATGTGTTTGTTTCCTTCGGTACTGTTAGTTATTAGTCTTTTTGGCCTGTTGTTTCTTAAGTAATTACATTATTCCTTTAGTGCAAAAACTTCACAATGATATTGAGAGTGACATGACACCACCTTCTTATAATTATAGAAATGTTGTCTTAAAAATGAAAGTTTGTCCTTCTTTAACAGTTTCATGGGAAGTTGAATCTTTTTGAGTTTTGTACAAGTTGCTCTTATTAGTAAGCAGGCAAGGTGGGCTTCTTTCGAGACTTCCTCATTTGATTTCTTTTCCTTCCTTGAAATTCTCAACAGTCTCCTTAGAAACCACATTTCTGTTGTTTCTTTTTTATTCTCACCGTCTTTAGCAATTGTCCAGCATTCACAGCCTCATAGAAGGGTTGACCACACATAGCCTTTCAGAACTCTTATTTTAGTAGTCACTGAGATGTTTCTATTTTTTTAGGATTGGAGAAATTACTACTTGTATGTAGTTTCTGGGCTGTGGTCTATTGATTGTGTGTGTTTTTTTTCCCATTCAGGTCTTACGGGCTGTGTGCTTATGAAGAAAGGGATCGTGGGATACTGGTATCTCACCTGAAAGATATCCTTGGAGAACCTATCCCGATTGAGCATGTGTTCACAAGACTGAGAGAATGTAAGAATATATTATGGTAAAAACAATGGGGGGGCGGAGCGGCAAAAGTTCTATGAGGATTCACTTTCAAGCCTGGCACATTTCTTGATCTCCTCCTTCTTTTCTTTGTTCTTGCTCTCCTTGGAAAGGAAACTTGATGACATCAGATTTGAAACCCTGCTTCTCTGGCAAAGACTTTCATTATTTTTGTCATTTGTTCATGAGAAGAATGAGAATAAAATCCTGCGAATACATTTTTTAAAGAGCAATTTTGGTACATAAACATAGTCTTTGGATCTCTGTGAAATAAGTTCAAGTAGAGAAACACGTTCTCCCTCTGATGAAGTGACCTATTAGAATTGCGGGAGATAACTGAAAATTCCACCTTGATTGGTATGTCAAATGTGTCACGACGCGGTGGAATCGGGCGCTCGTCAATTCTTGGGCATGTAGAGTTATTGGTATCACCTTAAAGCTTGTTCATTTGCTTTGCTTTTGATGAAAGAATTACCCGTTTATCTTGAGTATGTGTTGCGATATTTGCGATTGAATGAGGTGCAGTTGCTTGGTTTCAGAGGTAAAATGAGTGAGAAAATGGCTGCCAAAGTTTGGTCATTTACAAAGCCTCGGAATCAGTTTTTCAATAAAATTCACACTTACATGGGTTCTTAAATGGACATAGAAGGTGTTCAGCTGAAAAACACAATATCGATAGAAATTGCCAAACCAGCGGAAAAGTGTAAGTTTCTTTACTTTCATTTTTTTGACGAGCGCCTGATTTCACCATGCTGCCTCACAAATAGACATTTAGCTTCTATTTTATAATTGGAAAAGTGTTGGAAGTTATCTTGAACTGTCTTTGCACTATACATGCTGGTTTGCGAACTGCCCCGATTTCATTAGACACTTACCCTCAGAAACACTTACACTCCTTCTAGACATATACAACGACATGTGGCGGTCGCACTCCTTTCCGGAGTTTTGGCGTCTCACGACTATCACTCCAATACCCAAACCAAACAAAGACCACACTCACCCATCCAATTACAGACCAATATCACTAACGAGCTGTCTGTGCAAAATTATTGAAAAAATGATTTACAGGCGACTCATGTGGTTTCTGGAGACGATGGGCTCACTGAGCGGTCTCCAGTGCAGATTCAGGAAAACTCGATCCACTCTAGATCACCTGGTCTGCCTGGAGACCTATATACGCGAGACTTTCGCTGAAGGAGGCCATATGATCGCCATCTTTTTCGACCTAGAAAAAGCCTTCGACACAACCTGGAAGTACGGCATTCTCACAGACCTGCACGCACTCGGCATATGCGGTCACCTCCCTGCCTTCATTGGCAACTTCCTGAAAAACCGTTCCTTCCAGGTTTGTGTCGGATCCACCCTTTCAGACCCCCACCAACAGGAGGAAGGAGTTCCCCAGGGGAGCATCCTTTCTCCTCTCCTATTTGAAATCAAAATAGATTCCATCGTAAAAACCCTCCAAAACAGCATAGACAGCTCGTTATACGTTGACGACTTTCTGATATGCTGGCGTTAGAAAAATCCTCATCTGAGATCTATGGAAAGGCAGCTGCAAACGAAGCTTCACAAACTCGCAAACGAAGCTTCACAAACTCGAAAAGTGGGCAAACAATAATGGCTTCGAGTTCTCCCTGTCAAAGACAGTTGCAGTACACTTCTGCCGAACAGGCAGACGTGTGCTGCAACCGGATTTGACACTATAGGGGGAAAGGATTCCCGTCCAGGACCAGGCTCATTACCTCGGCGTTATATTCGACAAAAAACTGACATTCATACCGCACATCAAAGACCTTCGTGTGAGGTGCCAGAAAGCGTTAAACGCTTTGAAAATTCTATCGCATCCGGAGTGGGGCGGGGACTCAAAACACCTTCTCCACTTGTACATCTCCCTTGTCCGGTCCAGGCTTGACTACGGTTGTCAAGTGTACGGATCGGCAAAACCACACATCCTGAAAATGCTAGACCCAGTACAAAACCAAAGACTCCGCCTCGCTCTGGGGGCTTTCCGCACTTCCCCGGTGGAGAGCCTCTAGGCCGAGGCAAACATACCATCACTCTCACTCAGACGCACACAACTCTCACTACAAAACGCAATTAAACAGAGCTCAACACCAGAAAATCCAGCACACAACTGCATTTTTAAAACAAACCCAGAAACCATAAACAAATTCCTAAACAACGAAAAACTCATCAATCCCTTCGGCCTCAGAATCCTTGAGGACCTAAAAAAACTTACACTTTTCCAAACAAGACATCCAACAATTTCTTTTCCCCGACCTCCCTCCATGGCACCTGACCAAGGCAAAAGTAGACTTACAGCTGACCACACGCAACAAAGAAAGCACACACAAACACCAAACTTTTAAAGCAGAATACAAAAAACTAATAGATAAATACCCCTGTGCGGAGCTCATCTTCACAGATAGCTCCAAAAAAGACAATAATGGGCGCGGCAGCCCTATCTTCAAACAGTACACTCCAGAGGAGACTCAATCCTGAAGCCTCCTTTTTCTCTGCGGAGGCCACTGCCATTGACTCCGTAGAAAATTCTCCTAACAAATCTTTCCTTATCCTTTCTGACTCTCACTCTTGCATCACCTCACTCACAAACTACACACTTCTACACCCAAAAATAGTTAGGCTACAACAGAAAATTCACACCCTATCTGAAACAGGAAAAAATATCATTTTCGCATGGATACCTAGCCATGTGGGCATCCGAGGAAACGAGCAGGTAGATGACCTGGCGAAGAAATCCTCATCCCTTCTGTTGGGATCAACGACGAACACTCTCCCACAGACTGACTTTAAAAATAAAGTAAAAAAGTACACCTCCATTCTGTGGGAGAGCCACTGAAAAAAACAGAAAAATAACAAACTCTATAATATAAAACCAAGACTGGGACTGCGAAATCCTTCGGACCTCTCCAGAAGAGACGTTCATTTTTACTCGATTGCGCATCGGACACACGGCCCTGACACACAATTACCTACTACAGGGAGATGAGAAGCTGTTCTGTGTCAGATGCGACACAGATTTTACCATTAGACACATTTTAACCGAATGTCTAGACTTTGGAGAGATCCGAAGGAAATACTTTAAATGCAAAAAATTGCAAGACTTTTTCCGTCGTTGGTCCCAACAGAATTTTGGATTTTACGAAGGCCATTGGCCTTTATGGAAAGTTGTAGTATAGGACAAAATTAAATGTTTAAAATTTTTATGAAAGTTGTTTTAGTCTGAAATTATATATCTACACCAAATTTTAAATATTTTAACGTTTAAGATCAAATAACCCATACACAGCTGTGCAGTGAACTATTTAAAAAAACAAACAAAAAAAACTAACTTGTGTTTCGCTCGCTCATATGACCTTATGCAGTTGCGAGCGCCGTAAAACCCCATACTAAACTAAACTGCCCTGATTTCGTAGGTGTTGTCCTTGTTGTGGTACGTTTATACAAAAATTTGCTTGCCATGGTCACCATTGTGTATATAGCTGGATTAGTGAGCATCCTTGATCATTGACTGAACCAAGCCCTGCTGTGAACTGTTGTGAATGCAACCAAATTGTGTTTTGCACGCTCATATGACCTTATGAAGTTGCGAACACCGAAAAACTTTGACTAAACTAAACTGAGTATCTCTCCTTTGCTCTCCTTTCAGAAAACAATTTGTTGGCTTCCTATTCCGTGTAGAGTCACTGAACTTACTGCAGTGTAATGTTTTCACTTGGTGTAGATTCTCCTTGATTTGGGTTTCAAAAAGTTATCCCTTCATTTCTTTCAAATGGGGAAAAGGAGGAAGAAAAGGGAAATGTTAAGTCTGAAAATGGGACAGGCTGGGGTCTTTGTTCATAAACATTTATGTACAGTAGTGTCCTCTTAAATCAAACATGACCTATTTGAAAACAGTGGTAAACTACAAGAAAATAAAATCCCTTATTTTTTCCCCTTCGTTATGTGAACAATCTCTCTAACTGAAAACAGCTAAACTGAAGAAAATCCCGCAGTCCCACAGATTGTGAGGTAAGCAGACTCCATTGTAATTGGTAAGTGTTTGTTCGTGGCCTATATCCTGATCCAGGGTGAGAAAGGCATGATGATGATGATAATGACTGTAATTGTTATTTTCAGCACTAGGAAAAGACACTCAGGTCAACGTGGACAACCCCAGTAACCCTCACAAACAGATTCCCGATGTGAAGACCAACCTGTCAGAGCCCGGTCGATCTTTTGCCGACAGCATAGTCTACACCGGCTACACATCTGAGTTCAACCGCAGGCAGTTAGCCTGGCATGCTGCTCATAGTATGTGAATTGTTTTACCCGTCTGTGCCTGATTTAAAAAAGAAAAGAAAAGTTATTGCCCTGAGGATCTTATTTTTAAATATAGTCAAACCTGTTTAAAACGGCCCCCTACTGTCAAGGAGTAAAGTCATGAGTTGTGGGCCGGGCTTATAAGTTATAACGGATCATGCTACCCTCTCCAGCAGTTGAAAATTTATTGTTAGGTCTACCCATTGGTCAACTTGGGTTAACATTCATTGGCAGGACTAACAATAGCGACAGGTGAATGAATTATGATGGCCCGTCCATAGCGTGAGGGGCTGATTCAAAATTTATGACAAAGCGTTGAGCAATGAGTGACGACGTTTGGCTGCCTGAGGCAAGTAAATTTGACAGTGGGTTGATAAAATAAGGTGACCGCGGCCGCGTTGGACAGGTGACCGTTTTACACAGTTAAATTATATAGAAAAAACGCATGGGGGGAAATGGAAAGGGGCCGTTTGTACAGGTGGCTGTATTATACAAGTGGCTGTCGCGGCAGGTTCGACTGTAATTGAAAGTTAGGCTTGAAATTAATGCATGTTTTGCTCCTACACATTTTAATAGTTACAGTTGAAAGCATTGTGAAAAAGAGCTATTGGATTTGAGCATAATAAAAAAGCTGTTTGTGTATAGTTTATGGATGTTTCTTTTTTTTTGCTTTTGGGGGCAAATATGAGTGGCCATCCAGAGTACTGCTTATTACAGCACAATGTATGATTGTTTGGGAAATTGGTGATTTTTTTTAGCTCATACTTGTGTTTTAGTAAAAATGACACTGGTAATTTCTTCAAAGTTTTCCATTTCGTGAAATATTGCACTTTTTTACTAAAGCTATAAGGTACATGGAACATTTACCGTACAGAAGATTTGGACTCTAATTTGTTTCATTTTTATTGTCATGTTTGTTAAAATTTCTATTTACTTTTGTGTAGTAATGTGCAATAATTTTTTAGATTTTTATGTTCGTTTAGGTGCTTTTGTGCTGATATGCTAATATGCTTATTGACATCGGGTGAAGGGCAAAATTAGCAAAAAAAACAAAGTAACGTCTATGTACTTCCATCATATTATGTCCCAAATGATAAATTGGAATGAACAGGCAGATCTTGGGAGTTATTATGAGAGCCTCTAGCTGGAAAGGAATCAAAATGGTATAATGTTCAAATATTTATACTCCCATACAGGTATTTATATTCTGTGCTTATACATGTCCCCAGAAAAACCTGATGCAAGGGAACTGGAATTCAGCTTTGCGGATTTTACAGTGACAGTGCAACTGGATTTCCAACCAGAGTTCTCCAACATACTTAAAGTTTATATGTCTGTGACTGACCCTGGCCCAACGGAAGAGTGTATTGCCTATGTCAGCGGTGTACCCACGGTAATGAGCCTGTGGAGTGTGTGCCATTGTTGCTGCTCTAGCAAGCTCTCTGTGTTACATTCGTAGGCTTTTCATTGCTATGATCAGGATTCGATGGTTCTAAATTCCTCAATTAGAAGAGAGATGCGAAGTGAAGCATCAGGTTACAGTTAAGAACAGCCTGGTAATTTCTTCATTGAAAAAGTTTTGAGTTCCTACAAATTCTGCTTTTTAGTTTTTTTCTTCAAGAATTGAGAATAAGGGACATTCCAGTTGTGCTAATCTTTTGAAAATGGCCACTATATAAATACGACTTATTTGTCACAATAAATTTCAATAGAATGTTGGTTGACCACAAAGTAACTTTTGGAACTATAAATATGAGAAGATATGGAAAATGTTTCTTTTGATGAGTTTATGAGTCTTTTTTAAAAAAATTAAATATTTTTTTCATCTTAATGTTTCATTTCTTTGTTATAATTTCTTTTGTAGCGTAATGCAAAGGAAAATTTTCTTATTCTCACATTTTTAAGACTAGTAGTCTCTACATGTGGTTAAGACGTTGCATCTTTTCTGTGTTGATTCATTTCACATTCTTTTTGAGCACCAGAATTATTCATCTCTAGATGCATATTTTTTATTTGAAGAGCTCAGTTGTAAAAATGAAAGGAGGAACTGCTTTTGAACTTTTATATTGTTTTTTGCTCATGAAAATTTCCGTTATATCAAAAGTATTTTTTGCAAGGAGGGTACATTTCTGTTATGTTTGATTACTTGTTCCAGGGGGGGGGGGTGGGGGTGGGGAGTGGTTCTCATGAAATGTTTGGAACAGACAGTTTGAATCAATGATTCATATGTTAGAATAGGTGGCTAAAAAGTTTCAGTTTTGTACTCCGGCATCAGTTTTTCCTCTGAGCTCTTCATTTGACTAGGCAGTTTACAAAGAGCAGGTATTTTTACGCATATATGTAAATAAGGATTTACGTCTTCCTCAGGATGTAGGGGAGAAGATGCAGAATAAAATCATCTCTACAGGGCGTTCTTGCCAGTTGAATAAAACTTATGTTACCATCACAAACATACAGAGATTGAAGGTAAGCTAATCATTAAGTCAGGCCTTCTTTTTTATTTTTGTTTAGGCTTTTGTTTTATTACCAAGACAAGTGCTTTCTCTGCCATGCTGAAGTTTGATGTTTATGTTCAAAAGTCTTGGTAGGATCAGACAGACTCTTCCTTGTCTTTCTTGGAATATTCTCCATAGCCCAGCCTTTCTACCAAAGACCCAATGTTGTGCCTTCAAAATGACGTCTACTGTGTATGTTGAGGGTGTTTTGATTCATAAGCAGAAAAATAAGTTCTCTTAATGAGATGCACCTTCTCCATGTTTACAGGTTGTATATATCTGTCGGTTTATATGATTATGAGCAGTGATTCTTGGGTTGTGCTTTCCACTTATTTCCTCCCCTTGTGGTTGGTCAGGCACTGTTCTTGTGTTGACTGTGCCTTCTTTTTCTTTGCGTATTACCTTTGCTCTAATCTGCAAAAAAGTGTTTTACGGCGCTCGCAACTGCATAGGTCATATGAGCGCTCTAATCTGCACTTGGCCCGATGTGTTTGTTATCATGCTGTCTGGCTACAAATGTGACTGTACCGTTTCAATTTGCTCTACATGGACTTTTGTTGTACAAGTGGCACTGCTTGGGATGGTTTCCTAAGCTGCTATTTGTTTTGGTACAAGTTGAACAGGTTTTCTTGAACAGTTTGATTCTGCAATACGCTGACCACTGAGAAATGATTTAAATTGCAAAGTATATGCTCATGAAAAGAAAAACCAGTGCACATGTAACCATGAAGGTTTTAACTTTTGTTGAGATCAATGTCTGCTTTGCAACACAAATTTCCATCTTATTACAAAGTTCTGTCTGCTCAGCACCTAGTTTTGAGAAATTTTGTGTAAAAAGTTTTCATTTTCACAAAATTCTAAGCTTTTTCGAATGTAATTCTTTGAATGTCTTGATAACAACTTTGAGTAATCTTACGATTTTGTTAGAGCAGAAATATAATAACTTTTGGTTTCTGACCTCATGCTCTTAGTTACTCAAAACGGCCAGAAGTGTCCAATAGAGCTTTGTAATTCTAAGGTAGGGATTTGTTTTAGAAAGGAATATAGCACAGAAGCAAGTGTCAGATATAAACTCTATCCTGTTGTGAGGTTGCACGGCAATCGAAGAAGTGTGAATTAATGAGGTTATTGATGTCCGTTTCCATTGTGACACATGTAGGCAAACTTTTTTTCAGAATTCTCACCTGAATGTCCTGCTCTAGGCCCAAGTATCGTATTTTCGAAAGGACATACTTTGTGTCAAGTTGAATAACACAAATTTGTCAAGCAGTATGGTGTTATATGTGCAATGAAAAAGTCATGAGTTTGATTCTTGACTCCATTAGGCAGGATGGTGAGCCCTAAGGAAAGACAGTTTACCTTATTTTCCTGTTTGCCAACTGCAAGTGGGTAGATTTTCTACAATTGGCAGAGACAGAATTTGTGAATGGTAGTGTTATGCTCCAAACAGGCTGCATGAGGGCGGACAGTTATTGTGGGTTTTTTTTAGCCTTTGGGGGTTACATGACAGTGAATACGCTTAACTCTTTATGTTAAACACACACTTTAAAAAAAATGGAGCTGGATTTGATGGCTCCTTTGAAGTAAGTTTTTCTTTAATACAGTTTAATGTATCACCGCCTCTTAAATAACCTCATAGTGTTGATAGGGGCGTTAAACCTATACCAGTTCACCAGTTCACCACTGTATTTGAGATATTGATGATTTTGTTCTTTTTATATCAATATCACCCTTATATGGCTATGTGACATTGATGTGAAGATGTTTATCTTGTCTTTGAAACTAACTGTGGGTGAAAAGGTGCTGCTCTCTCTCTTGCCCTTTTTAACTCCCAGTGGAGCACAGGCCATCAACAGCATCAAAGGTGCTGCTAGAAAATGGCATAATTTGTAAAACTATCTCTTTGGTAGGAATTACCAGGAAGAGACTCAAAGAATTGTTAAAAATCATTGCCATACTAGTTCCATGTGCATTTGTGCTGACTTTTTGCCCGGTGTCTTTCAAAGCTTAAATGTGCCATGACATGGTGGAATCAGTCATTCGTCAATTTATAAGACACGAGTTATTGGTATCATTTTAAAGCTTGTTCATTTGTCTTGCTTTTGGTGAAAAAATACTCATATATCTTGAATAGAGGTCGAGATATTTGCAATGGAAGGAGGTGGGGTCGCTTGGTTTCAGAGGTAAAATTGCGAGAAAATGGCCGCCAAAGTTTGGCCACTTCCAAAGCTTGAAAGTCATTAGAAACTGAAAATGTACATTTTTGTGCCTTAATCAACTTTTTTCAGTAAAATTCAACAGAAATGTGTTTTTAAATGGACCTTAAAGGTGTTTAGTCAAAAAACGAAAATGAGATAAAAATTTCCTAACACTAACAGACAGGAAAATGCCAGTTTCTTCGATTTCATTATTTTGACGAGAGCCAGATTTCACCCTAATGCCTCACAAATATTTCTAGATCCATTTGAATGAATGACTTTTCCCTCAAACAGTTTTTAATAATATGTGATAGTAAATGGTGGGAATTTTTCTCACAGTCGCCCATGAACCTTGAGGTCACTGTGAAGTGCAAGAGAGCTTCGGACCAGTCTCATCTGGAGAAGGCAGTGAGGACTGACCTTGGCTGGCCCCTGGTGTCGAGCCTTCATCTGTGGCGAGAGAGACCCGACCTGTCTCTCAGACGGGAGGCGGTGGAACAGGAGGAAAGCAGCGCAGGCGATGAGTCCAGGGACTTCTATGGATAAAAGACTGGCCAGGACGTCTTTCTGAAGGTAAACCTTTGTGTGAAGTGCGGACGTCTTTCTGAAGGTAAACCTTTGTGTGAAGTGCTCAACAGAGTATTCATATGAAAGAAGTTGTTGTATGTTTACTGGCTAGCCGGAATGTATCGTTGAAGATGAAACTTTGTTTCTTTTGATAACACAAAGTAACCTCCATGGGTGGATGAAGGGTGCCACTGGTCAACCTTTTCATTTCCGGGTTGTTTCTGTTTGTTTGTTTCTCTTATTCTCTCCCTGCACTAAATGACTTATTGTGTTGATATGTTTCTCGTTACTGAAATGCGAATAAGCTTCAACACCCTCTGATGAGGTTTCTCAGAGCTATATACAAATTTTGTGTTATTTTTCTAACTGAAGTCAGGTTTAGTACACATTAACACAGTGAGATTTAGTGGGATTTACTGTCTTCCTCTTTCAAAGTTTCCAAGTCCCCTCACCCTCCAAAATATGAGTTTTTCAGGCTTTGTTCAAAATGCTTTCAGTGTATGATTCTACAGCTCTACTTTCAGCAGCAAACAGATTTCTACTTTAATCACTCTTTTGTAATTGTATATGTTTTACTCTCCCATTGACACAGTCTACATCACTTATGAAGAGCGCTACTTTGGCTGTGCCTGTCAGAGCTGAACCAGGCTGAGAGGGATTCAGCATCCCAGCAGCGAGACGGAGATAATCAACTTTAAAAAAAAAATCCCACTTTGGAATGGAACTCCATGTCCTCAGTGTGCAATGGCAAGAGCCTATCAACGGTTACCCGCAGATGCTGGTTGAGATGTCTAGTGTGCATTTTAATGCAATATTCTAGCTGAAGGAAACCTGTAGTTCAAATACCTGTCTGTGTGTAAAGGTACAGTGTTGGGGCTGCTGCAAATTTAGATGTCTCTTTGTGATTTGAACGACAATTGAACAACACAAAACTAACCAAATTTCTTCTTGTTTAACTCTTTCCGGACGTATCGCCGATATATCGACTGCGATAGGGTGCCTCAGTATTGTTTCGTTTCAACAGGATCCATCATTTATAATTACTTTTTATTGCTATTGAAAAACTCGGAAAAGATTTAGGAAACAAAAACATCTAGTGACATTTTGTCAAAGCGTGGGTGTGGGGAAAAAAGAGTGAATTAGTTCTTGTGTTCTTGCATCAACAAAACGATGTCACCGGACTCAGTATAAATACCATAACTGAAACAAAATTGGAATTTTGCTTTCGAATAAAAAGCTGTGCATTCAGAAATTTATGAATTATGCTCTTGGCCTGTATAATATGATAAGATAGCTATGCTGATTTGCTTTCACATGTTTTTGGTGAATGTAATTTTTTCCGTCAAAATTTATTTTTCTCACCACCATCGCCATTTCTAACCCTTGTAATGCATACTTATGTTCAAGATTAATTCTTGTTTCATATTGGGATGTATTCCTCCTTCAATTTCCTTCAATTTGATATATCGTATGTTACATTTTGAGTGATGGTTATGCTTGTATGAAGTTATTTTGTACACCACCTGCATAGCCAAATTGAGCAGCAAGTTAATTATGTCTAGACCCCCCAAAAAACTACATCCGGAAAGAGTTAAGAGATCTGATGGTTGTGCTCTCAAGAAGCTGACCTCTTAAAAGAATTAAACATTTTTTTTGCTGGTATCCAGTTTGAAACAGTAGAGTACTTCTGGTTGGTGTGAAAACCAGAAAGACTTTATACAAATTTTTGGATTCATCAACAGAAGAAGCAGCATTATGTGATTGACAGCATAGGGTATTGACTGATATAGATGGTGTTTTGTTCCTGCTAAAACTACATGAAAGTATTTATGTCTGTAAGAGTGTCTTCAGTTAGATGTAGATAATTTTTTTCAGTGTCGTTGTCGGGATTCATGTGTGACTCTGGTAGGGCTAGGTGAGGATGAGGATGAAGGTAAGTTAGTTAAAGCAGTTAACATGTAGAAGATTTCATGTAATCAATTCATTGACTGAGCCAAAGTCCTCTTTTGCCCTGTTTTTTGTTCTTCTGCAGTCATTTTAGTTTATTTTTCCTTTCTAGATAAAGTTATTTATACCGTATTGTGTGTTATTGACTTCTTGTGAAAACTGCGGGTCAAAATGTTACCCGTAACAAAATAGAAGGGGATTTAAAAAAAGGCCTTCATTAAATG